ATATATATATATGTAAATATATTATATATACGTATATAATTTTTCTTTCAATATATCTAATCTTCGCATGATCTAATATTGTTTTTGTACCATTTACGGTATATATATTATTATGGTCAAAGATCAAAATCAGATCAAATGATGTACATCTCATAGATTTCTGAGAACAATTTTATTTTACAGAAATCGGAACTATTCAAACTGTTGCATCTACATTTTTTTTCGACGCTGGTGCTCTACAAGAAATTTCAAATAACTCACAATTTAATGCCTGCGTTATAGTTTTCTAACAATCAAGTAAATATCGATTATTATAATACCACCACCACCACCACACCTCATACAAAGGATTGATTCATAGGTATAAAAACGACATTTATACTGAAAAATAAAAACACGTGTCTATAGAATAGTCAAATGCAAAAGCACAATAGAAAAATTGATACTATATAGATTGATACTATAGACATTAATGCATCGTTAAAATATATTATCCAAATGTTTACTAAATTTCTATATAATCAAAAATAAAAAACATTATTTATTTTAAAATTAAAATAAATCAATGGTATAGAAGAATTACTGTAAACGTACGAGATGAACACACTTTTCTTTTAATAATACATCATGCATAGATCAACATTTTACGGAAGAATGTGGATTTGACATCATAATGTAATGTGTCATTTATAAAAATACAGGTCAAACACGTTCGTACAAATAAATGCAGAAACAAAATCAGAGAGGATATGTATACTCTTCTACTACATTACTGAATTTTTGCAAAATTCATCCAACCTTTTGTCACCCAAATTGTATATACTGACTGAAGTTATCAAATGGATGCAAATCCTTCTCTTACTTACAAGTCGTGTTATTTTCATTAAAAGGAGAGTAAATGCATTGACATTGAAAATAAAAGTGACATTTAGACAAAAAATATGATTAGGGTAATAATAAAGACGTTAATATTTGCAACAGCTAAACAAAAATGTAGTCATTACAGTAGCTAGTCAATACAGTAGCTAGTCAAACGATCTACAATTGTCCACAATCCTGTATCACAAGCTTTTTGGATGTTTGTCCGCTTTGCGAACCCATGGCTTCCATCTAAAAAAAAACTTGGTAAGTATTAAATATATTATCCAAAAGGCATTAATGTAGTTTTTACCCTCCTAACAACATCTATTCCTTCGATGACTTTTCCAAACACAACATGCCTGCCATCAAGCCAACTGGTCTTTCCACTAGTAATGAAAAATTGGCTACCATTGGAATCTGGTCCAGCATTTGCCATAGAAAGAGTTCCAGTTTCCGTGTGTTTCAAAATAAAGTTTTCATCTTCAAACCTATTTCCATAAATTGATTTACCACCAGTGCCATTATGGTTAGTAAAGTCACCACCTTGACACATAAAATTAGGGATCACTCTGTGGAAGCTGCTATTTTTATAACCAAAACCTTTCTCTCCTGTACAGAGAGCCCTGAAGTTTTCAGCAGTTTTAGGAACTATGTCGGATCTCAACTAAAACAATATAATTAATATTATAGAATAAACAAACATATATATATATGTGTAATCCAAAATTAATTCATTACTTATTACAATAATAAGATAAAAGATAAAAATCTTGATAATTTTCTTTCTAAAATTTAATAATATTTCCACTAAATATTAGTATAAAGTTGATTGGCGATTTAATTAAAAAGTTAAAACTATGATTTATTCAAATACATTCTTATTTGATAACCGTGAAAAGAAAAAAGAAAAAGAAAAAAAAATCACGATTTAAAAATGATCATATATCTGTTGTCTACCTCATCGAATGATTATACGGAAATGAGTCTTATGCGGCATGAAATACTTTAGCGATTGAATAGGCGAGTGGAAAATTTTACTATTATAATCGACGAGAGGCAAGAGGAAGATCAGGGTCGAGGACAAGAAATGACGAAAACATTAGAATAATTATTCGCCAGAACAAAAAAGAAAACAAAAAATTCGCTAATGCTCGAAACGCAAATATAATAAATGTAGGCCATAATTAACAATTACGATGAGAAAAAATTAAGATAGATAATTAATAACCGGAAATAACGTTGATAATTAGAACCGGCTTATAAGTATAGAAGCAAGATGGCTAACCATGCTGGAAATTTGCAAGGAAATTTTCGCAAAATAATGATTTGGGAATTTAATTGGTTAACTTATGGCTCATTTTTCCTTACCTCCATAACGATACGGCCCATGGGCCTATCATCGGCAACGACGTCGAAATAAACTCTTGGCAAACTCATTTTCTTGGCGACTTTTGCAAAATTTCGCACGAACGTAACCGGGAACGGTCGACTCGGGCGGGCGGTGGCTCGCAAATGGCACGTATGGCTGAAAGTCAAATCAATTGACAGCCGGCAGATCGATCTCAACGCCATTTCGCACGTTTCTACCTACGGAAATCGACTTTAATAGGAACAATCTTACAATATTAATTCAAGTTAATCTAATTAAATAATTTTTTAAACAAGCCCTTACTGTTTTTGGCTATTATTATGTAATAAAAATATCAGACAGTATATAAACGGTTATCGAAAAGATGGATGCACACCACTCGTTTCGATGCCAACCAATCGAAATTTGCGAATGTCGAGTTTGTAATTCGCAAGTCAAACGACTATAAACAAAATAATAATTAATATACCTATAAAGTCTTAAATATACATAAAAAATGATGGAATCATAACATATGCACTGGATATTAATCTAAAGAATCTTTTTAATGAAATAGGTTAGCATATTTAGTAGCGTGTTACTTACGTAATTTCATTGGCATTATATAAGCTTGATCGATAAAGTCGGAATCTATAATATCGTTTGTATTCGTCGATAAGTGTACATTTCTACTTTATCGACTAACTCGAAGTGAAATAAAATCGAATAGAATCGAATTTCGTAATAACTCGTGTTCGTAATAATAAAAAAAAAACGATATGCAATTTTTTCGCATGTTCATTAGAAGCCAAAAGAAAATATGGTATAATAAATCAATACATTTAATACTGATGATATCAATATTGCTATATTCATATCTTTTTAATGTTCAGATAATAATTCAATTTAAATATGCGCATATATTACTCTAAATGTTTCTTTGAAATGATCGAAATGATCCCAAATTAAAACTGAACATATTAATTGACATTAATAAAATGAATTATATGATGAATTTTTATTATAAGATATAGCTTTTCGTTTAATTTTTAATCTAATCATCAACTTTCTCAATTAAACATATTTATCCAATTAGTTATTTGAATAAGAATAATATAGGATCTCCATAAAAATCTATAGATATTACAATAAGGGTTACTGTACATGTAGGTAATTAAGTTATCTGTATGAGCCAAGCTAATGCTCAACAAATAGGATTAATTATTAGTTTTAATACGATTACTAGGGCAGCAGGCTAGATACCTCTGTGGCTTCTTTTTCGTTTAGACGGAAATCACTTCGTATTGTTCATCGTACAGTTGTACATCGACAAGGTTTTAGTTTCTAACTGAGTACTTTTAATTTTTTAGCATTCTCGAGTCACCGGCTCTTATAACAAAATTTCATATTATTATTATTATTAATAATAAGACAAAATGGGAAAAGACGATCCAGAAACAGCAGCCTTGAAAAAGGAATTGGAGGATCTTATCAACAAGTGCAAGGTTTATCATCAATTCGTATTATTTCACATTTTGTCTATTTTCTTGTACTTCTTTTTCTATTCAACGCATTTGCTACAAACTTAAATACAACTTAACAACATTTTTACAGGAGGACCAGAAAAAACAACAGGATACTACTTTAGAAGAAGCATGCGGTAGCGTGGCCGATGCTCCAAAAGTTAAATTATCTACGAAGAAATTACTTAAAGGGCACATAAATAAGGTGAATTCGGTGCATTTTAGTGGGGACAGCAGGTCTGTGATAAGAAATTTATTATAATTTACTATTCATTCCGATTATTACAATTGTTATACAAATTAAATAGACACATATTCCTATCTATTATCACCAGTTTTGTAATTGTCTCATTATTCATTTTTTTATTTTAGACATTGCGTCACAGGATCGTTAGATGGAAAGTTAATAATTTGGGATTCCTGGACCGGAAACAAAGTGCAAGTTATACCATTGCGTTCAGCTTGGGTGATGTCGGTAGCTTTTGCACCTTCCGGTAATTTTGTTGCTTGCGGTGGAATGGATAACATGTGTACCATTTACGACGTTAACAATCGCGATTCTACCGGTTCTGCTAAAATCGTTCGAGAGTTGCTCGGTTACGAAGGATTTCTCTCGTCTTGTAGATTTTTAGAAGATAAAAGAATTATTACTGGTTCCGGCGATATGAAAATGTAAAATATATCTCTTATGGTTATTAATTTTTTTTCTTTTTCTTTTATTAAATGACGCATATTATTATTTCGTTATTCAATTTTAGTTGTATATGGGATCTCGAAGCAAATAAAAAAACAACGGACTTTTGTGCACACGCAGGAGACGTTGTAAGCATAAGTCTTTCGCCGGATGGTAACACTTATGTTACTGGTTCAGTCGACAGGACTTGCAAACTTTGGGATTTGCGAGAAGAGACCGCCAAACAGACGTTCTTTGGACACGAAGCTGATGTCAATTCCGTTTGCGTGAGTAGAATTTAAAAAAAAAAAGAAAAAAACTAACGTTTCGATAGCATCAAGTAATTGTAATTATAAAATATCGATCCTTCGAGTTATTCTCGATGTTTTTATAATGATTCTGATCTATCGAAAAATATTTTTATTACAGTATCATCCTTCGGGAAATGGTTTCGTAACAGCTTCAGAAGATAAAACTGCTAGACTGTGGGACTTCAGATCTGATCAACAATTAGCAACGTTCAAACCACCAAATTCAACTCCAGGATTTACATCATGCGGATTATCGCTCAGTGGCAGATTCATATTTTGTGGAAGCGACGATAATTCTATTCACATATGGGACACGTTGAAGAATCAACATAATGGTGAATGACGTCTATTTATTTGTACAACAACAAAATTTGCCATTACTACTATCGAGAATAATTGTTTAATCGATTTTTTTTTTCTTTTATTTTAAAGGTATTCTATCCGGTCATGAGAATAGAGTAACATCGCTCAGTGTTACTAACAACGGTATGGCAGTAGCCAGTTGCTCTTGGGATCAAAATGTTCGAATTTGGGTATAAAAAATTTACGATAAATAGTTATTGCCAGTGCTTAAAAAAAAAAAAAAAAAAAAAAGATCATAAACACGACAATAAAAAAATCAAATTACTAAGAGATTCGGAAAATAGAAATTACGATTTGGAATTGTTTGATAATTGCACATATTTTTGAAAGACACAATAATGATTATTTTCAGTTCTTGTTACGATAAAATAATTTACAAAGGAGTCGCTCGATAATAGGTGATTATGTTTATACCAAGAGAAACTACATTTCTTATAATTTAGTTTAATAATTTAGTTAATTTCGTGTACTAATCAATACATACATATAAATATCTGGTGACTTTTAGAAGAAGAAGAAGAAGAAATATAATTTATGTTATAACGCATTAATAAGTTTTACATTCCTAATACAAATGACCATTTATAGAATTTTATTGACAAAATTTGAATGTTCTAAGTGAAAAGGTAATACTAATTGTTTCCGTGCGAAATGCGCGTATTTTTATATTTATTTGTTTAATCACAAAGTGGAACAATTTAACAATAACTATTAAAAGAAAAAGTAAAAAAATGAAAAAAAAGGAAAAAAAGAAAAAACAGTAGTAAGAGAAGTGTTTTAATCGTGAAATCAAATATTTTTAAATGAAGTGAAAATAAGTGTTGAAAGTATTCGTATCAATTCGTAATTTGTAGGAAAATTCTTGTCGTGATAAAAAATTGCAATAAAAAAGTACATTTGGAATAAATTACTTTCTCGTTTTGTTTCTTATGAGTAGATAAAAATATATATATATATATATATATATCGTTTAAAATAAATCATTCGATATTGTAATGAGAATTGCCATTGTCTTTTTTATTTCTACAACGTGCATATTACACGAATCTTCATCAATGCTGCAGAATAGTGCATTTTGAGAAATGTATTGCGTATTTAGAAATGCAATCATTAAGATTTGGTGTTTATTAGGCGCGAAGCACAGAAGTCAAAAATACTTTGCCCCTTTGGACATATATAGGGAACTTATTGTGCAGATATATCCATATGATTCTCTTTTATATAAACTTCAAACCTAGGCCACCGGCTATATTAACGCCGAAAGAAATCATTTCTAAATATAATAAACGTATATAATAATTTATAGAGAGAGCGCGCAAAAAAGCTTCATTTCTTTTGTTTTTTTTTTCAATAACTTATTGTTAGTGTTAAAATAATTGAAATCTTAAATAATCTCTTTTCATATAAGATAAATTGATTGCAGTAGGTATACAATATATAATGAGATTTATATTAATGTTACAACATAAATGCATGTCGTAACTTCGACGGAATCGAATATTGATCTTTAATTCTTACAACTGCTGCATCACGACGGTATTTATGTACACCGATAGTTCACACTGAAAATAAAAATGCTCTTCGTATATTCGACAAAAATGAATAAAATCGAGATACTTCCGAAAGAGAAAAATTAAAATCCATCCAGATGTATCAGCAGAGCCACAATTACAGTAGCACCAGCTTCTTTGGTAGCCCATTTACTAGATTCAAATTGTGATTCAATGTCATCTTTTTCACTGGTTCCTATCGTGTATGAACCAGGTCTTACCAACAATTGGAATGCAGTTGATGCATTAAGTTTCTTATTTGATCGATGATCGATGTATCTGTATATAAAATTATTATTATTTTATTTAATTATTCATTAAATAATTAAACTAGTTAATTAAAAATATACACCTTGTATATTTTTATATAACTAGTATTCTACCTACGTATTACTGAGGTAAAATAGAGATGAAAAGGATTTGATCCCAACTTTTTTGAACATTCATCATTCATCATTGAAACTACTTACGGATATTTTTTAACGAATTCTTCCGATGCCGCGTAATTTATATTTGGTGAAAATATTACTTGAGGATTTTGAACTTCGTTTTTCGTACATATTAAATTACTCGCATCTAATTGTTCCTTTGTCATAAGTTCGCCTCTATCGAGAATTAACCTGGAGAAAATATATATTTTGTTAGAAATTTAAAAAAAAAAAAAGAAAGGAATAAAATAAATCTTATTGCAGACCTTATTGCATCTAGTCGTATTCCATAAAAGGCAACGTGCCATTTATCTGTGGTACTTTGTGGGATTTGATTTGCATTGATACTTTGTCTTAAAGGAAATCTTGCCCAACCAACAGGCAACGCAAATTCTGCTGGAGGTTCGCCCTTTTTGCAAATAGCATTATCGCCTTCCGTTTTATAACAACCACTGCAGTAACATAATGCATCGTCGAGCGTAAAAAACTCGTCCGGTAATATGAGTGACTTTTTAAGCCTCATGCATGCTTTTAAATATTCGCATTTCTTTGTGACCGATGAAATACTTCCGGGAGTACA